TTACTGCAACAATCGAAGACGCAGAACATGAATACACAGAAGAATAAACTCGGGAATTCATATTGCTTAAAAGCAATTAAAAAAAAACATTTATCTTTTTCTCCAAATCCCTGAATTTGTAGTCCTTTTTATTTTCATTTAATTTAGCAAACGTTTCTTACATATGAAAAAAGACAGCTTTAGTAAAACAGTAATGATGAGAACCGTGAACAATGTCTGGTACATTCTCAAATGCGACTCTAACCGTTATAAAACCCCGACATTCCTCAAATTTTATAAAATAAAATATTGATAGTTATAGAAAAGTACATAAAAACAAGAATACATAGGTACATATCATAAGTTACAAAATTACGTTTCTAAAGCTGATTCCGGCTGTTGGTTGAAGTGTGTTTAAACAGGTGTGTTGATCGGAGTAGAACTAAATTCAAAATATATATAAGTTTAGGTTTTATGCAGTGTGGTCCTTGACTTGATTTAACTATAATCAAACTAAATGTGATGGCACTTTGCCCAGCTTAGCGGCATTGTTCTACACCAGTACGGCGCTCACTCACAAAATCACTGCCGCCACTTCGCTCCATTCAAGATTCCGCAGCTTCCGGACTGCGCGTGTGCACACATGCCGCTTTCTCCGTTCATTTAATCTTGGCCAAATATAAGATGCAAAGCACATTCATTCAAGCACAATCTTACTAATCTTTTGAGCGAGAGGTACAGACTGGCAGGCAGTACGGACCATTGAAAACAAAGAGCTGAGTAGCTCAGTTCTGTGCTATGGTTGTCATGTTGAGAACCATTGCGTGGACTTGGACGTTTTTGTTTTTTGTTTGGGTTTTGTCCGCATTTCCTATCTTTGGGAAATTCAGAAACGGGGACTGGATTATCTTCAGACACTGAAGCAAGCAGTCACGTGTTTCTGAGCCCCGCGCAATCTGTTTAGAAAGAGCTGTGCTTAATCTGTAGCGTGTCCCATATTGCTTATCTTAGAACAGTGTTACAAACGTATTTCTAGGCGAGATTTCGTAGTGAAGCAGGTGAACCAGTGGCTGTTTTGCGCTGTGCTGTGGATCTGTGTTGGGCACGTGCCCATGGAAGCATGCCGAGCGGGCCAATATCATTTGTAAACACTCAGGCAATTCGGTAATACCATTTTATAGGTTTATCTACAAATGAACCTTAAGTTACAAGACAGTGAAGGCTTCCAAAAAGACAGAACAACTTCTGCTGTCTCCCTGACTCTGAGTGGCTAACTAGATGATTTTGGCTGATGTTTTTTCTTTGTTTCTACCAAACACACCGGATTTGTGCAGAGGAAGAACAATGGGATCCAAAAATTAGGAAAAAAGTAAACGAAAAGAATCTGAAGCAATATTAACAATGCACTCAAAATATTATTTATTGCCCCAGAATCCTCATTCCCTGTAAAAAAAAATGGCTTATTTTAACATGATAAGGTTTGATAGCACAAGCAAGACAAAGAGAACCCCTCCCCACCCCAGAATGAGAGACAGGTGTAGAGAAATGTCAAATCAGGCACCGGAGTGTGGCGCCACCTAGCGGCCACGTTTAGAAGACAGGAAGGCCTTCATGGATGTTTTTTTTTTTTTTTTTACCTTTTCTCTTTATCTATTTAGCAGGAGTCTTAAAGGAACATTCATCTGAGTAAAGCACCAAAATGATCACACACATGCAGACACACGTACAGGTAGAGAATCTCAAATGGCTGTCTCCTATCCATCGACCGACACATAACCCCCCCCCCCCCCCCCCCCCCGCCGTGGCCCCCCCACCCTCCTGCTGCCTTGTTTTCTCTCATTTCCTAGCCCTAAATTCCCAGCCGCTGCGAGGCCCGGCCTTAAAAGGGGGCCCCGGTCCAGAGAGATCCCATAGACGGGCCCCGTTTGTGCCGCACTGGGACTTTATGGGGACTCGGTCGCGTCAAGCTGCTATTCAAGCTGCCAGCTGCAGGCTCTGCTCCCAAGCCCGTAAAAAAGAATCATAAAAACAAAACAGGAGGTTCTTTAACTGCACCGCGCCCCCCCGCCGGCCCCACCCCACAACCCCTACGATGGACACCACACGGCTGCCTGGAGACACCAAACTCCTCCCCTCCTCTGACACCAGGGTTTCGCTCAGGAGGCTCTGGCTTTTAATGCCATCGGGCAGGACTTCAAAAAGAAGACAGGGGGAGAACTCAATAAAGAGAGATGACAAAGGTCCCCCCCAGGGCTGGAAAGTCACACCAGGACCCCAGACTTCAGTCCTGCCTTTGACGAGGACACCTAAGGCCAGCAGCAAATTAAACGAGAATATAATAGTCTGAGGAAGGTCCCGGATCTAGAGAACCTTCTAACACTCCCCAAGTAGCAGTACGATGGCTCTCCAGTCCATTCCTGCTTGGGAAATGTTTGAGGTCCTCGTACAGATGCATCTGTCGAAAAGGGCGGGGGGGGGGGGGGGGGGGGGGGGGGGCGCGGTTAGTCCAGGCAGCAGGATGGGGTATCAGAAATCCATCAGTCTGTCAGCAGCCTCTGGTGTTAGACACGGATTTTAATTAATTAATTTGTTTGTTTGATTGTTTATTTATTTATAGCTCACTTGGCCTCCCTGTACGAATGTCAGTCATCACTTGTGAGATGCGTTAAATGAGACCCCACCCCCCATCCACCCTCATGTCGCTGCCTCACGGAACCCGAGCCCATCCTTATCAGCGCCACAGCCAGAGGCCAAATTTGCATTACAATCAGGGAGCTGTGGGGGGGGGGCGGGGATGTCCACGAGTATCGCTTTACCCTTAATCTCCTGCCTGACTGGCTGCAGTCACTTATGTGTCAGTGTGAGTTTGGCTTCTGACCGCCCCCCATGTCCCTGAGCGGCCCAGCTGTGTGGCTCCCAGAAGGGACTCATTCCCCCAGCCCCCTCATGTGCGGCCCACCCTGCACACCATGTTCGGATTCTGCCCTGCGGGTCGTACCCCATCCTGGGCCGGAGCAGGTGTGTGAAGGACGTCACCTGACAGGCGATGCTAATGGACGCTCCCGGCCCTGTGCCTCGGAGCCCTTCCGGATGCTGCGTTACCTTTTGGCATCAGGGCCATTGCGCTAAACTCTTGGCGATTGTGACACCTGGCGGAGGAAGAAGCTCGCGGCCCCTGCGTCACCAGGGCGAATGTGCGTCAACATCTCTGCCGAGCAGCTCCCTCATGCTGTAACCACTGTAATGTGTTGCACTCCACATTCTGGACAGATGCAGGGGGGGGCAGCAGGTCTGCAGTGATGAGGGAGGGGTGGGAGACCCCTCAGAGGACCCCCATATCCCTCTGCCCTCCTGACGCGGTGCCAGCCCCCCCCCCACCCCGCATCTGCTTGCTGCTGCCCTATGGACCACGTCATCCTCCGCGCTAGTTGCTCAACCAGCGCAGAGTCACAGTCTGTGGTCACAGCCCCACCCGTTTTTTTTTTTTTTTGCCTGTTCACTTCCTCTGCCTCGTTTCCTCTGCCACCCCCCCAACTCCACCCCCAGGGACTGACCAAAGCCTGAGCCTCAGTACGTCCCCAGCAAGCCACCATGATGGAGGTTATCAGAGTACACGCCTTTTTTATGGGGGGGGGGGCATGTCACAGGCAAAGAGGTCCAGGTGGGAGGCTTCAAAGAATGGAAATCACCAGGAAGCGGAAGGTGCTGGTGGGAGGGGGGAGGGGTAAAAACCACACAGTGGCAGCTCCTTTTGACAGCTGCCTGCTAAGTGATCACCTGAGAGCCTCCCCCACAAAGGGAGGGGGTCTTCCTTTGCTTCAGAGCCTCTGTCTGAACAGGGGCTAGCGATCCCAAAGAACGTGACTCGAGAGCAAAAAAAAAAAGTCATATCTGCACATACTGAGGATCTGCTATATTAGATACCATGCTGGCAGACATCTCCAGGTCTGTATGAAGGCTCCCAGAATCAAGAAGGTCTGCAGGAAGGGTCCCAAACTGAAAAAGGTTTTGCGGTCATAAGCTCAACTAGGTGTAGGTGAAGGCTCCTATTGCTGAAGGAGGCCTGTATGGAGGCTCCCACACCGATGGAGGCCTGTATGGAGGCTCCCTCATTGATGGAGGCCCGTATATGGAGGCTCCTAAACCGAGGGAGGCCCGTATAGAGGCTCCCACACCAAAGGAGGCCCGTATGGAGGCTCCCACACCGATGGAGGCCTGTATGGAGGCTCCCTCATTGATGGAGGCCCGTATGGAGGCTCCCTCATTGATGGAGGCTCCCTCATTGATGGAGGCCCGTATGGAGGCTCCCACACCG